AAGTTTATTTTTAAAATTTCATTATCTCTTACTTCCTGTTTTCCACAAACTTTTTGCAGCCCCCTGGGATTCTTCCTTTCAAAACAAGATGAGGGAGAGTTGTTGTTTTAGTTACAGACGCTTCAATAATATACTTTGAATGTTTTGCACTGCTCTGCCTTATTACTTCAAACGTTCTTCATTATTGTCTTTATTTTTACCCCTTGGCAAAAGGTTTGCACCTTTATTATACAAATAAGATCAAAAGTAACATTTTTGGACTATTGAACAAGGGCGAATTAGGTCAAAATTCACTCTGAACCTGTCACGAGACATGTGCTGTGTATGCATGGGCACACTGTGCCAAAACAATGTAATCCCATCAATTCTACCCATTATATTTGTGTTTGTGCTATTTATACAGGTGCATGATTTATGGAAAATAGTACAGTATATGGAATAGGAAAGGAAATGTGAATTAGATCAAATTATATTTAAATGTAGTTAGAAATAAAACTATCTTTAGCAATAACTGTAAACCCATGCAAAGCTTTCGGATGACCCACAGACTCTTGTAAATAATAACTGAAAATATAAATAAAGTTTTCCTCGTTTTCCATAAGGTCACATACACATATACCCTCAGAAGTATGTGCTGCAGAGCCCAACCCTAAACCTACAGGTTGGGGAGAGGGGCTGGCCTGCCACACCCACATGGAAGCAAACCAAGAGGGAAAGAGAGAGAGAGACCCCCATACCGGCACACCAAGTCCTGAGGACAGTGCCCCTGCACAGAGCTGCTAAGGCCCAGAGAGGACTGTGAGGCCGACAACAGCTCGAGACTTGATGCCCCCTCGCTAATTATGGGGACACATGGCGGGGGGTGAGCCCGGTCGGATTCCCCACACACACACACACACAGTACAGCGAACCAAGAAGGGAACATAACAAATCAGCAACGGGAGCAAAGCAAAACCACAAACCCCCTGAGGAGCCCCAAAACAGACTTCAGGCTAGGAGGGGCAGTTCCCAGAAACCCCCCGGCTAGTTGGGAGATAGTCATAAAGGTCAGCGGACAGACCTGGAATGATGCATGCTATTTCAGGGGTTTTTTTGCTAGGTTTTTGTTCTCTCTCTTTTTATTCAATCTTTTGTTTTCTTTTTGTTTTGTCTCCTTTATTGTTGTTTTGCCCACCTATTTAAGACAGGCATGGGAAGCAAGCCTGAGGAGAAAGCAAGGAACCAACAGTCCCAAAGGGACTTGGGGTGGGAGGAGGCAGGGGAAGAGAGTTGTGAACAAGCAAGGCCCATAGACAGGGGAACAACTAGGGAATTAAAGTCAACAAGGAGGACGTAGAGATCCTGAATATGTTGAAGCAACAGCAATCTAGCTGAGAGGAATTACTAAGAGGCAGAAGAAGGGCGAGCATGATGGTAGGACAGGAGGGAGGTAAAAGGAAACAGGAAAGATCTAAGAAGCAAAACTATGGCTAGAGGTATAAACATAGGTGTATATATATATAAAATATTAATTCATAAAAATATAGGTATTGTCCTATGTACAAATATTTATAGGGCAATACATTGAAGAACTGGACAGACTTCTGACCTCTGCTCAAGCCCTCCCTCAACACAAGAACACTTTGTTCTAATAACCTGGCATTCTGTGATGCACACCCTCCCAACATGATCGCTGAAGACTTAAGTGGGTGCATAAGCAAATGTGGTGAAGAAAACTGATGGTGCCTGGCTATCAAAAGATATAGCATCTGGAGTAATAAAGGCTTGAAGTTAAACAAGTGGCCATCTAACAGAGAAGCAACAAGCCCACATGGAGGAAGCACACTAGCCTGTGTGATCATGAGGTGTCGATGGGATCAGGTATCAGGCATCAGAAGACACCCCAAATAAACATATTATTGAGAATGAGGAAGGTCAGAGCAGAGACCTCAAACCCATCTGTGGACAATAAGACACCCTCACAGAAGGATCACAAGGAAGATGAGTCAACCAGGGCGCATGTGGGAGGAGGTCAGATGCTTACAAACATCCTCCCTGAAGATAGTCAGTCACCAGGGAGTAGGCCCTGCTCCCTGCTGTTAAGGACAATGGACAGGCCTGCAGTCATTGATTTGGTTCCTGTAGGTGGAGTTCACACCCTACTGATAATGGTTCCTATGAAGATCCAGAGAACAGGCCAAAATTAAGCTGTCATCCTAAATCTAGGATCTGCCTATTGTGTGTATGCCCTTAGACAACCCCCTTTCATAACTGTATAACCTATAATGCAACCCCTTCCTGTGACATATGTCTTTACCTATAATTAGTGGGCTTGCACACACCCCAAAGGTATATAGGCCTGGGTTAGCAGTAGAGAGCCCCCTCTCTCTC